TTAAAAATCTTTAAAAATATTATAAATAATTTTAATTATTAAATAAAATTGCAGGCAAATTTGCCTGCAAAACGCTTTAAGAGATATTATTAGTCATATATATACTAATAAATTCATATATATCACGTGATACTTATTTTTAGGATTATACAGTAACTATATTTATAAATTACTTAAATTTTCAAATTATATAAGTTTTTCTATTATTTTTAAAAAAATATTTTAATAGATTGGTATTCAAGATTAGATTTAAAATCAAATTCAGATACTTAAGATCTTAGCAAACAAGTCACAATTCAAGACTTGACTCAAAAGTCAAATTTATATATTTAACTTAATAATTTTTGCTAAGCTTATATAAGGCTAAAATTTGATGATTTTAAAATTATGGATTCAGAAGTATATATATAATGTAATTTTCAATTTTATATCACATGATTAAATTTCTTTACTTATTTTTGATATAATTTTATTAATATATCACAATTATTAAGTAATTATAATATTATACTTGAATGTTTTATAATAAATTAAAATGATGAATTATTATTATTCCTATAATAATTAAAATACTCGGTATTATAACCGATAGGTATTATATAATTTATTTTTATATTATATCTGAGGTAATTTAATTCTAAAATCATTCTTAATATTTAGTTTTAAGATCAAAGTACATCAGTTTATATGACAATCAGATCGGAAATTTTACTTTTAATTTTCACTTATACTTCTCAGTTAAAAATATTGGATTATGTAATTTTTGATACTTAAATTAATATAATTTTATTATCATAACTTTTGATAAAATGCATAAAAATAAACTAAATTTTTTTTCTATATAATTATAAGCTTTAATAATTGAATATATGTATATTTTAATGCTAAAGATCTAAGAACCTATTGAATTTGAACAAGATGAACAAATTAGTCTCTAGAAAAGTGTCTATAGCGAACAAAATATTATAGATATTCTTGTCATTTTTTATTGTTTCAAAATGATACTCATCATTGTATTTGGTGTTATTCTCATAAAAATTATAATATAAATTATTTAATTCCCATTGTAAAATCAGAAAAATAAGACATAATGATATAGAGGTATTTTATGAAGAATAATATTGGAGTTTTAATTCAAGTTTCTGATAAATTGTGGGTTTTTTGTATATATTGAGGTTTAAAAAATAATCTTTTGCCTTTTATTGATGAGTTGGAAACTGAGTTAAAATATATTTTTAAGATGAAATGTATCAGTTCATTGAGCAAAGCAATTAAGCAATAGATAGAAATTCAATCTCAAATATTTTATGGTCTGCATAATCACCTGACTTACTGTAAATACAATGAATATCTATAGAATATTTTGAACAGAAAGTTTTGTAAACATACTCTATATCCAAAAATACTTGGAGAATTAATGGTTGTTTTAAGGGAAAAATGAAATGAAATTGAAACAGACATTTTAGAAAATTTAGTAAAGTGTGTCAAGAAGGGTTTAAGCTGTAATAGATAGCAATGGTTATCCAATTAAATACTAATTATTTTTATGAAAAATTTGTTTTATGAATAAAATAAAAAATTTTTTTTATGTAAAATTACTTATTAAAATTTTTTGTAATTAAAAAATTAAAGTTGGCTATTAAATTAAAATTTGCGATAATTTTAAAGTGGTCCAATACTTTTGACCGGGGAGTGTACATGTTCCAATCTTTTATTATTTGATAAAACTTAGGTACAATTGACTTCAAATAAATACAAATGCGGATAATTTGGCCTTTTTTATTTTTATTTTGTTTTATATAAATACGAATTTAAAAGTAAATATACGTGAATGAAAATCGTCCGGAATCTATTCAAAATTATAATGGTAAAAAAGGTAATAAGAGAACGAGAACGTGACAAGAATACCCTTGAATTAAAAGATAAATTCGATTATATCGATAATAAATAAGAAAATATACTTTCCTATAAAATCACTTAACCTTTTGAAAATTTTTAAACTTAGGAACCCCAATCTATCACATTTTTTAAAACCCTTTTTTTTTAAAAAAAATATATATATATATATATAAAATAAAATGCATAATCGTTAAAAAGAAAAATTATATACATGATTTACTTAAAATAAAAAAAATTCGAACTCGGTAAAGTTTTTTTTTTCATCCAACCTTTTCTCCAATACTTTTTGAATCGTAAACGAGAGTTCTTTTATTTTCTCCTTATAAAATTTTTTAATAAAATCCTTGAAGAACCGTAAGCATGTTATATAATTAGTACAATTGTCACAATTCTGATAAGGTTGAAATAAACAATCAGAACATAAATATATTTTTTTTTATTCTTCCATCTGTCTTTTAACACCTCTTGAAGGTTGAAGCGATAAAGGACTAGAAACATTTGGACCGCCACCAGGAGGTGGATAATGTTGTGAAGGATGTCCAATAGGATATTGTTGATAATTTACACTTCCAGGAGGTGGCACAGAACCAGGAACACCGCCTGGAGGAATATTGCCTTGAGGGCCAGGACCCAATGATGTAGCATTAGTAGGAGAAACTATTGATGGTCGAATTCCCGGGGACACGATTTTCATTGGAAGATAACCTGGTTCAGTCTTAATCATTGGTATACTTTGAGGCGGACCTACAACTCCAGGTGCTACCATTCCTGGTGGTGCTGATCCTATTCCCGGTGGTGGTATGGAAAGTCCTGGTGCGGGAACAGTACCAGGTGCACCAGCTCCTGCAGGAGGTCGACCTAACATCATCGGTGGTATTGGAGCTCCTAAAAGTAAAAATAATGAAAATGTTAATATTGAATAAATTGGAAAAAAGAGATTCTGTAACTTACCACCATATTGAGGGGGTGCAGCACCCGGAACTGGAGCCGTTGGTGGTGGAAGACCAGGAATATATCCATATTGAGGGGGAAATCCTAAAAAAATAATAAATGAGATTATTATATAGTTCAATAATGGATGTAAAGAAAAAATAAATCTTACCTGATTGTCCAGCTCGTTCATACGCCTTTGTGATTTCATCGATAATTGCTTGTGCTTTATCTTGCCCTAACTCTGATAATAATGGCACAGCAATAAATAGTGGAAACTTTAATTAGAAATTCTTTGAAACTTTTTAGAAAAAATTTTATAAAACAATAAAAATATTCACCAGCATAATAATTCCTAACGTTCATGATGTGGTTTTTACCATTATTGTGGGCTTTCCTCACCGAAGAGGAATCTAAACATGAGAAAATGATTAGTATGTTTTTTTATTTTTGGTCAAAAAGTGAACGAAGAGAGAAGTCATTACCATGTGTTAAGTATACATCACAGTAATCTAAGTTGTTTATATAATAGATCGACAAGATATAAAAGTTAATAACTTGCTTTACGAAGAAGTCGTTTCATTAACTTACCACAGTAATATTTTGGCATAATTATTTCGAAAGATCTAAATATTAAGACGAGTATCTATCATTCATTTAATCAAAATATGTTCATGATTTAATTTATATAAAAATCTGGTACAACCGAAAATTTTATCGGATTTAGAAAATATCCGATAAAATTTCCGTGTTCCGGATTTTTATCCGGTAAATTTCTAAAGCACACTTGAAATATATACGAGTGATGTTCTGAAAAAAAGTGAGGGTAATTCCATCATTAACTCCGTTGGTGGAAGAAATTTACATTGAATTACTTCACGTTGAGAGAAACTTTCGAAATTCAATAAATTGAAACTGATAATTTTGCTCGACCAATAGAAACTAACGCCATTGCTGTTACTAGACGAATCACATGAAAGCCTAAAATATTAAAATTAACCCCGAGATTCTCGAAATATAATTTTAAACAAAAGCAAAAGATGTCCTCAGACGGACCTCCAGGTTTTTTTTTTTTTTTTTTCTTCAATATACTTTTTATTACTAGATTTTTTTTTTATGTTAACCAAAGAATTTTTTTTTTGTCTAAAAATTTATTTAGAAATGATAGCTACGCAGAAAGAAATGGCCGAAGCAAAGCTTCCATTAGGATATAGAGATTATTGTGCACATTTATTGATACCATTAAATAAATGTCGTATTGAAGCTTGGTATTTACCATGGAAATGTGAAGATGAAAAACATGCATTTGAAAAATGTCAATACGACGAGTAAGTTTTATCATCAAGTTTAAAATGCGAAATCTTTTCTAATTGATATATTAAAAATCGATCTAATTTATTTTTAATATGTCAAGTTATATGAGGAGGATGAGGCTTTTGGCGAAACGAAAAAAGAAAGAGGATCAAGCAAAAACAGAAATTGACGCTTAGATTTATTATTTATTATTAAAAAGTTTAATAATATTTTTTCAAGGATTATTAAGACAATTAGGTTGCAAGAGGAAATGGAAGATTTTATTTTAGAAAATTTCTCGTCAAGATTAATTAATATTAATTACATTCTTCATAGTGCAAAGCAAACAATTAGAAAATATTCAAAATTTTCTTTTTGAAATTATTCATTTAATTTATCTATTCTTTTGCTCAGTAAATAAAACTCGTTGACGAACTTTATATCAAAAAAGAAAAAAAATAAGTTTTTGAATAAAAAAAAAAAAAAAATAATTAAAATAAAAATAATTATCACCTTTTGGATCATATTTAACGAATGATAATTTTGGTAATTGACGCGGTCTAACTCGTGTAAGAAAGTATCCCGTACCAGCAGTGGAAACGAGTCGTACTATTGTTGTCCTTAAATGATCGAATAAAGAATAAATAACGTTCGCTTTTCAATGATTTATAAACTTATATTAATATTTTTTTTTACCTTGCTTTACCCTTTTTTGCCACTTATTTTTTTTTTTTTTTAAAAAAAAAAAATGATATATATTTTATTGAGGAAGTAAATAAATTATTTATTTAAAATTCGGACTTACTTTTGTATATTTAGGTGTACAGTAAATTCAATTATACGAAAATTTCTGATATTTATATAATTTTTTTTTTAAAAAAAAAAAAAAAACCTCGGTGGCTTAGCTGTCGATTAATTCAGAAATTTAAAATTCATTTAAATCAGAGTTTTAACTCGAGACATACCTACCAAAATGTTTCATGCTTTAATAAAAAAAACTTTTTTAAATAATTTAACAAAAAGAAATTTCGCTTCAATATCTAAACCACCTGTAAAATTAAATCGACAGGAAATATCGAACAGACAAAAATTTCGACAAATAAATCCTCCTCCCTCAATACTTAAAGAAATAGAAGCATTGGGCTTGGGGAAACCACGCAGAGTAAAAACGAGTCGGTTCGCTACTAAAGTTGCAATCGTTGGACGAAAAAAATTGGAACATACATTGGGCAAATTAGAAATTCCACAAGAGGAATTAGAGGTTACTGTTAAATTAAATTATTCATATTATGAAAAATAATTGAGTTTTAAAGAGTACCTCCTTTTGTATAATTATAAAGTTACCTCATTTGTCATTCTTTGCTGGGGCAAAAATTCCTTCTTCGATTCCTCCAGAACGAGTTCCTGAAGTAGCATTCGTTGGTAAATAAAAAAATCTTTGCACATTATCGTCGTATAAAACTTTGACGCGCATACTTTAATAATAATTTAAGGACGATCCAATGTGGGAAAGTCATCTTTGATAAATGCTTTGGCAGATACAACGATCGTAAGAACTTCAAATAAACCAGGTCTGACGCGGCAAATCAATTTCTATGCTGCGAGTAGAATCTTCAATATGATAGATATGCCTGGATATGGATTCGCCTACGTAAAAGAAGAAGAATTGATTCAATGGGGAAAACTGGTATGTTGGTCATTTATTACCAAAAAAAAAAAAAAATAGTAATTTTATTTATCATTATTTTTGTTAAGAATAGATAGAAACTTATATAACAATGAGAACAACGCTCAAAAAAATTTACGTAATTATCGATGCTCGACATGGTATTTTTCTCAACATTTTATTATGCAATTACGCAAGCAATTATGTAATTATGTGAATGTATTTATTGTAGGAATTAAATTAGCTGACGTAAATTTTCTCGAGATGCTTGATAAGTTAAGATATAATTATTAATTTGGTCTCGGCTTTGGTTTTTTTGTTTTTTTACCTAAAGTAAAAATTTTTTTTTATTATTTTAGGAAAGACGTCAAGTTTCAAATTGTGTTAACAAAATGTGATATGGTGATACCACCGGATTTAGCAAGACGTTACGTAGTGGTTAAAAAAAAATTGAATCAATATAAAAATGCAAATGAAGAACCATTAATGGTATCGGCAAGGAAAAAGGCAGGGATTCTCAATTTAAGGAAAGAAATTTTACAAACGGTTGAAGCATTAGAAAAAGCACGTCAACAGAATAAGGCATTATTAATCGATAATGGAAGGAAAGTTAGGAATTCACGACATTCAAATGCAAAAAGAAAAAAGCGTGTTTCAAGGAAAATGTAATCCTAAATTAGGTAGTATTATGATGACGTAGATCTTGAGAGCAAAAACGTGAAATTCTATGTGATTTAATATTGTAAAAGATCATCAACACGTAATTTTCGACAAGTTAATGCCCTGAACCCTTTGTGTTCGATGTAGATCTTTTACAAAATGATGATTACATTTTTAATTCCAAATAAGGTTAATCTTACAAGGCGTTCAGCCACATTAGTTAATACAACAATTATTTTTTTTAAAAAAAAAAATTGAAAGCTCATGCTTCTATGTTGAAAATAAATTAGATCTTCAAATGGTGTTGTAATAAGATCAACTGTCAAAATCCCTTTAACTTGTGTATAAGTCTAAATTTTTTCAGCCAATTTAAAGGCGTTATCGTAATATAAATAAATCATTAAAACATTCATGTATGAAAGTTCTTTAAAATTCTAGGTGAGATTAATTCACATGAAATTACACCAATCTTATACCATAAATGTACTCGTGATTTTCGCAGAAATTCATAGGATATTCAACATGGAACAGTACAAATTCGGCCATCAAGTTCATGGTATATCTGAAATAAACCATGTAACTTTAATTTCACGCGACTTTGTTCCATGAATAACGGATTATCCCTTTGTTTATCAACATAACTTTTTTTTTTTTTTATCTTCTGAAGATCCCATTCTTCTAATTATAAATAGGAGGGATTTATCCTTTCTGAACAAGAAAAAAAAAAAAAAATTTTTTATATTTTCCCAAAAAAAACCAAAAATTATCCATGGCTTCAGCTACTGAAACTAATACGGCTGCTTCCAATATGACATCAAGAATGTCTGATTATATCATCGGTTTAAAACAAAAAATGCCCACCTCCGTGTCATCTAAAGTTGATTACGGTGTTGAAAGAGCGAGAAGTATTGCAACTGGAGTTTCTTCGGACCTTCAAAAAACTGCGGAGAAGAATAATGTGAATTCCTTTTTGCCTTCGGATGTTGCTACTGAAGTTCAAAAGGCTGCTAAAATTTTAAATAGTTTTACGGAACCTGAAAAAGAAGAAGGTGGTTTGGAAAGTGTAATTCCAAATGATGTTTTTAAACACGCCAAAGGTCTGGCAGTCTTTACTGCTATCAAGGCAGGTTTCGTTTGGTCCGGTCGTGTCGGTTCCGGTTTAGTTGTCGCAAAGTAAGTTCTTGTAGCTGTTCGATTCGATAAATTTTTATCCGACAATGCCAATGAATTCTAATTTTTTCTACATAAAAAAATAATGTAGACGTTCCGATGGAAGTTGGTCTTGTCCATCATTGATAAACATCGGTGGTTTGGGATTTGGTGCACAACTTGGCGCAGATGTTACCGACTTTTTAATCGTTATTAAAACCGACGATGCTGTAAAAGCTTTCACTCGTGGGGAAAATCTCACCTTGGGTGGAAACTTGTCGGTTTCAGCAGGTCCCGTTGGATTTGGTCAAGAATATTCCGGTTCATTATATGATCGTGCTGCTCTCTACTCCTATAGTAAATCAAAGGGTCTCTTTGCTGGCGTATCTGTACAAGGAACCATAATTATGGAACGAAAGGATGCCAACCGCGCCTTCTACGGCAGAGATTTGTCCGCTGAAGATATCTTATGCGATAGAATTGAAATCGAGAGAGAACAACAAGATACTCTTAAAGTCTTATATGATGCCATTAAGAAAGCTGAGGAAAGGGAGCATTAATTTATAAAAAAAAAAAAAAAAAAATATTTTTTTTCCCCTTTCGTTTTTAAGACTTTTTTAAATTATTCTTCGATGGGATTTCTGTTATATCATTTATAATAATAATATATCATATAGTATATAAATCTTTTTAACATCTATTCATTTCAAGTAATACAAGATTAATAAAAACATTTTCACATGATCAATTTTGCAGTGGGTTGTGAATAAAATTAATTATTCATTAATTAAATAAAAAATATAATTTATTTTTCACTTCCTTTGGTTCCCGCTGAAAATGTAAAATATCGCAAGTTTCTTTCATAATTCAATTTTTTCTTATCTACAAAAAAAAAAAAAATAAAAATAAAATAAAATTATAAAAATCTATTAATAAATAAATCAATTTAATTTAAACCTTTTTGTTCTTTTTTCATTTCTCTTATTAATTGCTTTTGCATTTCAAGTCGTTTAAGTTTTTGAGTATACTTTAGTTTTTCTTTAAATTTCTTAATACCCTTTTTAGTTGAAGGCATTTTCATTTTAACCTTATTACTTTTGGAGCTAATATCGGATTTTTGAATTGAAGTGGATTTGTTTGTGCTGACCCTTCTAAGTAAATCTAACAATTTAGAAGACTTGTCAGGTTTATTAATAGTAGTGGTTTTAGAAGTGGAAGATCGTGTGGATTTTGTGTTGGTCATTGTTAGAGGAAATGAGATAAAAAAAAATTGCAAAACAGGAAATGAAAATCTGAACTGACAACGTGTTTGTGTTACATAAATTTTTTTGATAATCTTTACTAATGTCCTCAGCATACGGAAAGATTCTAAAGTCTACCTCAACCACTTCTACTTCTCTCTCTTCTATCCTTCCAATTACAACAACACTTCAAACAATAAATACAACGGTAACCATATTACCTCTAGACATTCATTCCTCAAATGACTTCACGACCCTTATCTCTCACATGCATAATGTATTTAATGAAATAATTAAAGAAGGAAACACTTACCCACAGGAATTTCCCTTTTCTCTTGATGAATTCATTAATTATTTTTTAAGTTATGATGCATTTATTGCGTTAAAAGATGACGTTAAAGAATTGGATAAGATAATGGTTAATGAAAACATTGTGTGGGATGATAAATTGCTTGGGATGTTTTACATCAAACCAAATTATCCGGGACGATGTAGTCATGTACGTATATGGTGCTGTCTTTTTTAAAAAATAAAAAGTTTTTAACATTATCGATAACATTTTATTCTTTGAAAAGATTTGTAATGCAGGTTTTGTGGTTCCAAAACGACATCGTGGGAAACGAGTAGGAAAATTAATGGTTCAATCTTTTCTAAAGGTTGCTCCTTTATTAGGTTACAAATCTTCTATATTTAATCTAGTATTTGAAAATAATGTAGCCTCGATAAAATTATGGAGAGAATTTAAATTTAAAGAAATTGGTAGAATACCCAATGCTGGTCGTTTAAAAAAAGTTGGTGGTAATGAAGGAGAAGAAGAATTCGTCGATGCTATTATGTTTTATTATGATTTTGAAAAGATTAATGATTGAAAAAACAAGTTTGAGCTTTCACAATATAAAGTAATTGTATAAAAAAATAATATATATATATATATATATAGGTATCTTATTTCGCGACAAATTTATTTAATTAATGGTTGTACTTGTTTTTATAGGCTAAAAAATTAATGGTTCGATTCAAAAAAATTTTGTGCCACGATGATTATCTATATAAATTCGAACGTCTCTTTGAAATTCACCATAAAAAATGTCTGTTATCGAGGGCTTATCTCATATCGTATTAGCTACCTCTTCGATAGAAAAGTATGAGAGCTGCATACAGTTTTATAGTCAGTTTGGTTTTGAAACCGTGGTGAATTCAAAAATTGCGACAAGTGAACCGAGTAAATATTTAACGCAAGAGAAATGGTTACATTTATTTGGTAAACCACCAGTCCATGATATCACTTTAAAACTTGTGTTAGTAGCAAACGCGATTAAAAAAGTACCTACTTCCGAAGAAAAGGATTGGAGGTTAGAACAAGTATCTGTAGCTTCTGTAACAAAGGATATTGTGGTATGAGTTATGCACATGCAAAATAATATTATTTACAAAATTTATTAATTTTATCCTTTCATTTCGATATCATTAAGGCTGTTGAATCAATTTTAAAATCCATTAATGCAAAGTATCAGAAATATGCATATTCTGATGTCAATGAAACCGATCTATTAGCAACAACGACTCCAGCAAATTTGGTTCATACTGAAATTTACACTCATGATCCACTTGACAACTTGATCGTTTTCACCAATAAACCAAATCCTTTTAGTAAATCAATTTATCCAATTAAACCAAAATCACCTGTAAAAAAAGAAATTATTGAAAGTGGTCTAAAAATCCTTCCACAAGGTACAAAAATGAGGATTGGTGTATTGACTAGTGGAGGCGATTCCCCTGGTATGAACGCTGCGGTGAGATCAATTGTTAGAGTCGCGATTTCACGTGGGTGTGAGGCGTATGCTATCTTTGAAGGGTATAAAGGTAAATTTAAAATTCATGCTACAGGGTTTTAAATAATACCGTCAAAAATATTCAAACATTATTTTTAATGTAGGCCTGGTAAACGGTGGTGATATGATTAAAAAATTTGGCTGGGGTGACGTTAGAGGTTATCTTGCCATTGTAAGTCCCAATATTTTTAAAGTAATTGCAAGCGTTAAACACTAAGATTTACATGAATCCTTTAGGGTGGTACGCTAATTGGTACGGCACGTTGTGCTGCTTTCCGTGAACGTAAAGGTCGATTAAGTTCAGCATATAATTTGATTAAAAATAAGATCAACTCTCTGATTGTCTGTGGAGGAGACGGCTCATTAACCGGAGCAAATGCTTTGAGAGAAGAGTGGCCCGGTTTGTTAAGTGAATTAATAGAAGAAGGTATAACTCTTTAATAAAAAATTATAAGTTAATATTTCAATAAACTTACTAGCAAATGACTTGTAGGAAGGATTACCGCGGAAGAGGCTGAACCATATAAACACCTCATAATAGTTGGTCTCGTAGGATCCATTGACAATGATATGTCATCAACCGATATTACTATTGGTGCTACTACTTCGTTGCACAGAATTTGCGAAGCTGTTGATAGTATATCATCCACGGCTTTAAGTCATTCTCGTGCTTTTGTCATCGAAGTTATGGGAAGGCATTGCGGATGGCTTGCATTGATGGCAGCGGTTAGGTAAATCATATTCAAACATTCAACCTTATATTGGGTTTGATCAATTTAAGTTGATT